TTAAATAATGCTTGCCTAAAATCACAAAGAGTTACTGTTAGAAATGGAATCAGAACTTCTTGTGATTTGATTATTATAAAAAACACACCTGAAAGTGCTGGTGATTTCCTGACTGGAAAGGTGCTTCTGAGAAAGAGAGTCCTCAGGTGTTTAGATTTAACAGTGAATAAGATTGTAAATTTCTTGAGGACCTGAGCTGTATGTTAGTCATATTTTTGCTTCCATCAGAACTGTCAATTATATAATTCATATTGTTATTAAATTGAGTGATATATCTTAGAGACTGAAGAAATTGCAGTAGAAAGACTTCTTATTTCTCATATTAGATGAGTTTTTTGAGAGCTGAAACTGAATTTAAGACTCCACAACTTAGCTCATTCTTTTTTTGTTTAGCTACCTATCTACCAGATTTATTTATTTATTAAAGATCCATTGAGTTCCAGGCCCTGTTTTTAGGAGCCAGGGATAAAAAGGTGCCATGGAATATTTAGTTTTTTTTTTTAAAAAGATTTATTTATTTGAAATATTTATTTTAAAGATATATTTATTTATTTATTTATTTGAAAGGTGGAGTTAGAGAAAGAGCGAGACAGAGACAGAGACAGAGGGAGAGAGAAAGAGAAAGTCTTCCATCCACTGGCTCACTCCCCAGATGGCTGCAGTGGCTGAGCTGTACCCATCCGAAGCCAGGAGCCAGGAACTTCTTCCAAGTCTCCTACGCGGTGGACTTGGGCCACCTTCTCTACTGCTTACGCAGGCCATAGCACAGAGCTGGATCTGAAGTGGAGCAGCTGGGACTCGAACCGGCGCCCATATGGGATGCTGGCACTGCAGGTGGCTGCTTTACCCGCTGCGCCACTGTGCTGGCCCTGGGATATATATCAAAGAATCATAGATGTTTATAGAAAAGTGGTAAATACACTGCATCATCTATCTGGATGTATGTATAATTTGAAGGTTATTGGTTTATATATATATATTTAAACTAGTTATCTAAATTTTCTGATCACTAGTAATCAATTATTTTCTGTTCTTGTAAGTCTGATAAATTTCGTTAGTTGAAAAACCAACCCTCCCCAGCTGTTATAGTGATCCTGCTTATAATCACAGGTTTTTTTTTATATTAATTATAAATTTCAGTTGTAGTATAAATCCACTTGGTCTTAATGCATTTTTCTTTTAATATGGTGATGGATTCTATATATTTAGGTTGCTTCCGTTTGTATAAGCAAATCCATCTATAGTTTCCTTGTATGCTTTTTATTATGTTTTTATATTGGTGCAATACTACTTTTTTTTTAAAACAATTATTCTTCAAGAAATACAAATTTTGTAAGTACAACTTTAAGAATAGTTATTCTTCCCACCATACCAGCCCTCCCACCCCTCTTCCTCCCTCTCCCCTTGCCAGTCCCATTCTCCATTAAGATTCATTTTCAATGAACTTTTTACACAGAAGACCAACTCTATACTAAGTAAAGATTTCAACAGTTTGCACACACACACGCAGACTGAGAACTGGTTTTACATTTAACTCAATACAAATTGTTGAGGACAGAGGTCCTGCATTGGAAGTTAGTGCTCAGTGACTCCTGTTAACAATTAACACTCACGTATGAAGTCAGTGACCACCTGAGGCTCTTGACATGAGCTGCCTATGCTGTAGAAGCCTTTTGAGTCCACAGACTCCATCAGGCAATACTGCTTAATAATAATTGAGCAGTTTCTCAAGCAGAAATTAAGTGGGCCGGCGCCGCGGCTCACTAGGCTAATCCTCCACCTGCGGCGCCGGCACACTGGGTTCTAGTCCCGGTCGGGGCACCGGATTCTGTCCTGGTTGCTCCTCTTCCAGTCCAGCTCTCTGGTGTGGCCAGGAGTGCATTGCAGGATGGCCCAAGTCCTTGGGCCCTGCACCAGCATGGGAGACCAGGAGGAAGCACCTGGCTCCTGCCTTCGGATCAGCGCGGTGTGCCGGCCACAGTGCGCTGGCCACAGCGGCCATTGGAGGGTGAACCAACGGAAAAGGAAGACCTTTCTCTCTGTCTCTGTCTCTGTTTCTCTCTCTCTCACTGTCCACTCTGCCTGTTAAAAAAAAAAAAAAAGAAGAAGAAATTTAAATGATTGATGTGAATGGAATGGGAGAGGGAGCGGGAGATGGGAGGGAAGTTATAGGTGGTGGGGGGGAAGCTACTGTAATCCAAAAGCTGTACTTTGGAAATTTATATTTATTAAATAAAAGTTAAAGAATTTTTTTTTTTTTTTTGCATCCAGGAGAGCTTTTTATTTGTACGGAACGGTTTTAAGAATACAGAATAAAATAGCTTTATCTCTACTATTATTCACAACATCTGGTCCAAATATTACATATCTTTAAAATACTTAAACGTTTAATGAAGCCATGTTAGAAAAAACAATATGAAAATTCTTTTTTAAAAACTCCATAAAAGAATTACACATCTCAAAAAACAACCCCACCCCAAATACCCTCGGTATGCAAAATAAAAAACAAACAAACAAACAAACACCCGGGAAGGGATGTAGCCAAAGTCAGTCACAAAACCTCAAGGAAAACGGAGGCAGCCCCACGGTTTTCAGAACAGTATGGAGGTGTTGGACAGGGGCCATGGGGGACACACAGGGAAGGTGGTCGTCTGGGCGGTCAGTGGGCTGGCGACGCTGGGGACGTGAGAACGCTGGATGTGAGCGCCAAGGCGGCAGGGTCCAGAGCACCCCCGGAAAAAAGTTAAAGAAATTTAAGTGATAAGAAATCTATACTGGGAGGCTGGCACCATGGCACAAGGGGTTAAGCCATGGCCTGCAGTGCCAGCATCCCATGTGGGCACCGATTCAAGTCCCTGCTGCTCCACTTCTGATCCAACTCTCTGCTAATGCCTGTGGGAAAGCAGCAGAGGATGGCCCAAGTCCTTGAGCCCCTGTACCCTGCACTATATTGTAGGTGCTTTTTATTTTTTAAAATTATTTATTTAGAACGTAGAGTTAGAGAGAGATTGTCCACTGTGCTGGTTAACTCCCCAGTTGGCTGTAAAAGCCAGGGCTGGGCCAGGCTGAAGGCAGGAGCCAGGGTCTCCTATGTGGATGCAGAATACCAAGCACTTGGTGCATCTTCCACTGCTTTCTCAGGCACATTGGCAGGGAGCTGGATTGGAAGTGGAGCAGCCAGGACTTGAACTGGCACCTATATGGGATGCCGGCACTTCAGGTGGCGGCTTAACCTATGCCACAACATAGGCCCCTGTAAGTGCTTTTATGGAGACTTGAATTAAAGCATATGTGTGTAATTTTAATTACATTAAAATATACTAGTGCCCTTTCCTTTGGTTAAGATGGACACTAATTTGATGCTGGGCATTGTTAGGAAAGATTTCATCATAGATCTAGAACTATAAAAAGTGCTTTAGGAGAGCTTGAAGTCTTATAACAGTCAAATCCAAGGTACTCTTGATTTTTATGTCATCTACTATTCAGAGATAAATTTTGGTAAGTTTGACAGGTTGTTATTTAAGAGATAAAATGTGTAATAGATTGAATCTTACTATTTTTGAAGTAGAAAATGTGTTTTGCTTTGTTTTTAACTGATTAAGACTTTACAACTGGGTAAGAACATATTTGGTCCTGCCTTTTTGGTGTTGGATTTTATTTAACTGAAATATTTAAATAGCAAGTTAGGGGAATTAAAACATTGCGTTTATATTTGATAGTTGCTTAATGTCAAAAAACTGAATCCACATTTGGAAGTTATACTAAATACATACTATAAGAGGCATTTTCTTTTTCAGCACTGATGGTGCAAGCTTTTTTTCTCACGAGGGGCATACTATATAGGATGGAGAGATAATTAACTTGGGCATCCAGTTAACTTTAATAGTGACAGCCCTTATTATGTGTTCTGATGGGCAGGAGCTTGTCCTTTCGTGCACAATAGAAGATGAACAGTTTTTGAAAGAATCCATTTTCTTTATAGGACTTGCTGATTCTTTAAGATAGAATTGCTGTTTTTTATTTAAAAAAAAATAGGAACTGTAATACAGTTTTTATACAGTTTTTTAAAAGGTCATTGATTTTGGGTATCTTCACTTTTTTTTTACAGTCTACTCTTTAACCTAATTTAGCTTGATATCTGTTACCATTTGTTCTTGAAGTTTCTGTGATCATTAATGACTTAGTGGTCAAATCTGGGTTACCATCTTTTGCTCTTTACTTAGCATACTTCTATAGTGTTTGACAGTGCTGATCATCCTGTCCTTGAATTGAACATTTCTTACTTTCTGTGCTACCTCTCTTCTCCATGCTATCTGCCTCCACTTCTTCTTCGTTTGGATACTCTTTACTTCACTCTTAGAATGTTGCTGTTTCTGGAGTCCATCTAGTCCTTCCTTTTTCCTTTACCTCTAAGACATCTCATAGCTTTAACCATTAAATTTGTGTAACAGACTCAGACTTCCTTTGGGCTTACAATCTATTATCTTTGAACATCTGTTTGAATATTCTAAAGACAAAATAACTATCAGAGTGGTCCAGTTTAAATCTTAATCATACAGATTAGTTCTGAAGTATAAAAGAGCCTTTCATAATAGTTTTGTTTTACAGATTAGTTCCGAAGTATAAAAGAGCCTTTCGTAATAGTTTTGTTTTGTGGGCATTCTTACAGTTATTTAACTAAAGGTATCATTTGGAATAACTGGCCTTAAGCATGGAAAAATTAGTTAAAATAACAAGTCTGTATCATATTGGTTAGAGCTGGTGTCTGAAGTGAGTTTCAGTAGGATATTATTTGCTTGGTATAAATTTGATTTGTGGTAGAAATTAAGGCTATAGTCCTATTAAATATGGACTTAATCCAGAGAATGACAGAATAGGTCAGTAATTCTTTACTAGAGTTTTAACAGTTTATCAATGAAATCCTCCCCTGCCTATATTTTTTTTCTTGGTAGCAAGAATATCTTTTTGTCTAACACATTTAAAATTTTTACTTTTAACAGAAATTAGCAGAGTACGGAAAGACATGTACAATGACACATTAAATGGCAGTACAGAGAAAAGGAGTGCAGAATTGCCTGATGCTGTGGGACCTATTGTTCAGTTACAAGAGAAACTTTATGTGCCTGTAAAAGAATACCCAGATGTAAGTATATTTTTTTGTTTTATTCAATTTTTTTCTGCTTTGTATATTTTGTGAAGAGATTTATTTGGTAGTAAATACTTGAGCACTATCAGTTGTTTTAAAGAATTTTTTAAGGGATGGAGGTATGAATAATTTGTTCTGAATAGTTAAAAAACACTTCTAAAATGTTTCCTTTTTATTACTGCTGTGTCTCATCTGTGAGTGAACATTGAATTTCAAAACAAGGCCAGGAATTGCGGAAAGAGCTTTGGCCTAAATATCAAAGAGCACCAAGTGCTGACCTTGGCCATAGTTGGGCTTCACTATCTTTTCTGTAAAATGGACATGTGAGATTATAAGTTTCTTTCAGCTGTAACACTTTTATGGAAATTATTGTTTAGTATCTTATTCCCCCTCATCTTAATCCATTGCTCAACTGTTCTCTGTAAGCATCTTATTGGAAATAGTGTCCTTGTCCTATACCAGTTGATTTCTAAATAAATCCAGCCTCTTTGCCTTTTGTCACAAAGCTCTACATGATACCGTCCATTCTGTTTCTCTGATCTCATCTTTAATGATCAGCTCTCTTCTTTACTATAGTGTAGTCACATTGGCATTCTTTGGGCATTTAGAGCAAGTCAAATCTGTTCCCAGCCTTAGGATCTTCCTTTTAGTTGTACCTTGATTTCTACTGACTGGTTTCTTCTTGTCAAGATTTCATGTCACCTTAGAGAGTCCTCCCCAGACCATTTTATTTAAAAGTATCTGATTACTCACTGTTGCACATAAATCTCTTTTTTTCCTATGAGGTATTACTAATTATCTGCTATTTTTCATGTTTGTTTTTCTCTCTCTCCAGAATAGTGTAAGGTACTTAGAAAACAATGTTGTCTTTGCTATTTATGACTGTATCCTCCTTAGTGTTGATACATAATAAGTATCAAATACCAGTTGAGTTAATATAGGAAATGGTGGGACTTTATTGGGGGCCTGGGAGCAGAGTTTCAGGGGACTCTTTGAAAGTAAATGAAAGAAAGAGTTGATATTAGAATGTTGAAAGTGTGATATGCTCTAAGATTTATTGGTTTCTTGGTCAGGGTACCAGCCTCTGCAAGTGGCAGACAGAAGTCTTAAGTTGGATTAATGGGGATTAAAAAAACGTTGGTATTTCATAATTTGAATTTCCAATTCAGTTTTCTTTAAGGCTTATTAATTTATTCTACTTTTATAAATATTTTTTTATTGCAGCTATACAGGCAGTTCCTAGATAATGAAGGCAGAGGAAGAGTGCATCCACAGAGTACTGGGTAATATAAAATGAAGGGAACAATAGCTGCAGAACACAACTTCATGTAAGGGAGGAGCCAGGGTAACTCTGAGAACTTCAGTAGCAGAAGTTTGTGGATCTCTTTTGTTCCCAGCCTTGCTCTTACATAACTTAGTGCCTCCCAAAGTTTTTCTTCAAAATTCAGAGAAAATTTAGTGTAATCTGCATGATGAGGGAAATGAAGTGACCTGTCATAACCTAGACATGAGCAATGTGATAGGATTTAGGTAGCTGTCCTACGTGGGGTCTGCAAATATGTGGTGTCGGCATCCCATAAAGCAGGGTAGAGAACCTTTGTAATTTATAATGATATTTATAATAGCATTATCAAAATTTAGCTGGCTATGGATTTATTGACTTTTGAATCCTGCCTGTGGTTGCCTTGGCAAGCCCAGACCAAATGATTTTGCCAGCTGGATGTTCTCTACTCATGCTTGTTTAAACCTTGAATATAAAAATTCAGCAATAGTCAGTAATACAGAATGTGTAAGACCATGAGACTTAAGTAGAGAATATAATCATGGGTTTGGTCCATTTCTTCATAACAACAAAAAAGATCCCATCCAGAAGAGGGATCTTTACACTGTTCTGTGTAAAAGCCTTGTGTTGCGTACAGGCTTCAAGTCATCACCTGGGCCCACTGTCCCGTTTTTTTTTCCCCTTCTACCAGTTGTGACTCATTGCGTGGTGGGCTGTTGTTGTGGTGGTTGTGCTGGAGTTCAGTGTTGTCTAGATCAGAGGCTTTCAGATGTGGTCCCTGAATCATGGGACCCGTACCTTCTGGGGATGTCTAAATGTTCAAATTCATCCCTTACTGGTTGAATCAGAAGTGGTGGGGCTGTGGCCCAACAGATTGCCTCTTGATAAGCCCAATAGGCGATTCTGCTGCATGCTTTCACTTAGAGCATGGGTACAGAATCATCCCTCTGCATTTTCAGCATTTGATCAATTTGAGAGAAAGAACCTGGTAAGGCTGTGCATGCTGCCATCCACTGATTAACTCACCAAATGGCTCCTGGCTGCAGCGTGAACCAGGAGCCATCGGTAACAGGAACCCAGCCACTTGAGCCCTCACTGAAGCCTCCTACTGTCTGAAAGGAAGACCTTGCACACAGGAAGTAGGAGTTCAGAGTGGAACTGGTTTTGAAACCATGCACTGTGTTGTGGGATGTAGGTATCTTGTCTTAATATGTGTCTTAACTGCTAGGTCAAATGCCTGCCTAACCCTCTAAATTTGTTATTAACATGGGACTAAAGTAGGCCAAAAACGTAGGTGATTACGTATCTGACCATTTTTGCCATGTATTTTTTCAGGAGGTATGTAGAGTGGTAAACGACTCACTATCCCTGCTTTCATGGAATGGGTGTTTTAGTAGCAGAGAAAGATAATAAGCAAATAAATACATACCTTTCGTTGTGGTCAGTGCTATAGAGATAAAAGTTGGGTTAACAGATGAACTGTGAATGTGTTTGTGGGGAGCATCATCAGGAAGGGAATCTCTTATAAAATGATGGGAGTGGAGAGAGCTGGCCAGAATGATGAGAAGACGGGTCTGCAGATCATTTGGGAGAAGCATTCCAGGCAGAATGAAGAGTAAGATGTGAGATTAGAGGTAGCTGAGGGGTCTTAGCTGAAGGGCCAATGGACTAATAGTGGCTGTTCTGAGGGAAATGGGAAGCCAGTCAAGCGTTAGAGCCCTGGAATCATACCTGGCTGCTGTGTTCAGTGGTGGCAGCAGAGGGTCAGTTAGGAGGGAGGGGAGGTTCTGAACAAGAGTCAAGAACTGATTGCTGATAGCTGGGAGGCACAGAGTGTGAGAGCAAATCAGAAAGACCCAAAGGACTTGACCAGTTGGGAGTAATGGAATTGCCAGTTCCTGAAATGGGAAAGACTTAGGGTAAAGCAGGTGTAGGGGAGGAGGGTTTAGTGGTTCTGACTCAAAGGTGTGAAGTTTGAAGTCAGGCATCCAGATGTGAAGATGTCATGAAGGCAGCTGATATAGTACAAGTTTTAATGGCCCTTTTGGCCCCAAAAATGTCTATTTCAATAAAATTTACAGTTAGAAATTTAGTTGTAACTCATAGGTGGAGAGAAATAGAGAAAAAACAGTTTGGCCCTCCAGTTAATTATTTTAATATCTTGATTTAAAATTTCTTAATGTGGTGTTTTTTCTTTTTGGACCTCATTAATTCATGCTGAGTAATAACTATTTTGTATTATGTAATAGCAAGTTATCCTACTTTTTAAAAAAAGATTAATTTTTTATTTGAAAGTCAGAGTTAGAGCGAGAGCAATATCTTCCATCTGCTGGTTCACTCCTTAGCCAGTGGCCCGGGCTAGGCCAGGCTGAAGCCATGAGCCTAGAGCTACTAGCTATTAAGGATATTTGTTATGGTATGTATACTTGAAACGTTAAGATTGATAAACTCTTTGGGACATGATTTACTGATTAAATTGAAGTAAGACCTTTTCCTAGGGATTTTATGTAAAGATAGCTCCTGATCTTTCCAAATTTTATTTAAAGATTGATTTATTTATTTGAAAGAGATCCAGGGAGACCAAAGGAAAGACAGGCAGACAAAAAGATCTTCCATCTGCTGGGTTCACTCCCCAGATGGTTGCAACTGCCAGCTCTGGGTTAGGCTGAAGCCAGGAGCCAGAACCATCTTCCAGGTATCCCATGGAGTGTAGCAGGTCCCCTCCCCACCCCCGGTCATCTTCTGCTGCTTTTTCTAAGCCATCAGCAGGGAGCTGGATTGGAAGTGGAGCAGCTGGAACATGAACCGACGCCCATATGAGATGCCGGCATTGCAGGTGGCGACTTTACCTGCTACACCACGATGCCAGCTCCTGAGTTTCCAGTGTTTTTAAAGTGAGTTTCAATTTTGAATAATGGACTTGAAAGATCATCATGATGTCAGAGTTTGTAAAATAGATTTTCAAATTTTTTTTCTTACAGGATCTTAACTTGGATGCTGTAATTATTAGTATAAATTTATAACACAGTACTCTCTGTGATCTCTTTGATGATACAGATTGAGCATCCCTACTCCCAAACAGTATCCTACATGCTGTGAAATCCAAAATACTTGGGAATGCTGAAATGATGCTTAGAAAGTTTGAGATTTCAGATTTTCAGAGGAGAGAATTCTTATCTGGTGAAGTCTGCAAATAATCCCAAGTCAGAAAAACTCAAATCTGATTCATGTCTAGTCCCAACATTTTGGGCAAAGGTTACTCAGCCCCTAATAATCTATTTGTTTTTAAGATTTATTTATTTATTAGAAAGGCAAAGTTATAGAGAGAGGGATACAGAGAAAGAGAGCTCTTTCATCTGCTGGTTCACTCCCTAAATGGTTGCAACAAGGATTCTTGAACTCCATCTGGGTTTCTCACATGGGTGTATGGGCCCAACCACTTGGGCCATCTTCCACTGCTTTGCCAGGCACAGTAGCAGGGAACTGGATGAGAAGTGGAGCATATGGGATGCCAGTGTTGCAGGTGGAGTTTTTTTTTTTTTTTTTTTTTTTTTTTTTGACAGGCAGAGTGGACAGTGAGAGAGAGAGACAGAGAGAAAGGTCTTCCTTTTGCCGTTGGTTCACCCTCCAATGGCCGCCGCTGCAGCCGGCGCACCGCGCTGATCCTGGCAGGAGCCAGGAGCCAGGTGCTTTTCCTGGTCTCCCATGGGGTGCAGGGCCCAAGCACCTGGGCCATCCTCCACTGCACTCCCTGGCCATAGCAGAGAGCTGGCCTGGAAGAGGGGCAACCGGGACAGAATCCGGCGCCCCAACCGGGACTAAAACCCGGTGTGCCGGCGCCGCAAGGTGGAGGATTAGCCTATTGAGCCACGGCGCCGGCTTGCAGGTGGAGTTTTAGCCTACTAAACCACAGTGCCTGTCCTTTAGATTTTCTAAAATTTAATGCTTTGGTAAATATTGGGTCCTTTATATTTAGTATTGTGAAGAGAAAATTGAAAGAGGGAAAGCAGACATTTGGCAACAGTGGTTAAGATGCCTGTTATCCCCTATCAGTGTGCCAGGGTTCGAGTTCCAGCTCTACTTTCAATCCCAGTTGGCTAGGAATTAGCACGTGGTGGTTTGGGTACTTGGGTCTGTGCCATCCAAGTGGAGACCAGGATTTAGTTCCTGGCTAGGAATTAGCACGTGGTGGTTTGGGTACTTGGGTCTGTGCCATCCAAGTGGAGACCAGGATTTAGTTCCTGGCTGCTGGCTTCAGCAAGGCCCATCCCTGGCTGTTATGGGAATTTTGGTAGTGAACCAGCAGATGAAAGAGTCCTTTCTCTTTCTGTCTCTCCCTGCCAAATAAAATGAAAGGACAAACAGGCAGCCCAGTCTGCCTTTCAATTAAACTGGAAGAAAATAGAAGAAGTGGCATTATTTTTAGGGAACAATTGCTTCTGGTAAGCAAATGTTTTCCATTTCTTTTGAGGTAGGAAGTTTTATCTGTGAGTTGTCTTAGTCTGAAAAGGTTTGTCAGGATCTACTATTAAAATTACTGCTACAGGCCGGTGCCGCCTGCGGCGCCGCACATCAAGCACCGGAGTCTGTCCCGGTTGCTTCTCTTCCTGTCCAGCTCTCTGCTGTGGCCCGGGAGTGCAGTGGAGGATGGCCCAAGTGCTTGGGCCCTGCACTCACATGGGAGACCAGAAGCACCTGGCTCCTGGCTTCGGATCCGTGCGGTGCGCTGGCTGCGTTGTGCCGACTGCAGCGCGCCGGCCGCGGCGGCCATTGGAGGGTGAACCAACGACAAAGGAAGACCTTTCTCTCTGTCTCTCTCACTGTCCACTCTGCCTGACAATTAAAGGTTATATATACCCCTTTTACTCTAACACACATCACAGTTTATGTTTATACAGGTTGAACATCCCTTATCTGAAATGACTTGGTACAGAAATACTTTGGGTTTTGGAGATTTTTGGATTTAGGAAAGTTTGCAGATATATAATGAGGTATCTTATGGATAAGACCCAAAGCTGAACTCAGAGAATTAGTTTATTCTGTGTATGTTTTCATATGTGTGTATGCATGTGTATATATTTTTGTATGCACATAGCTTGGTGGTAAGTTGATACAATATTTTTAGTGCACCTGAAGTTTGATGTGCTCCATTAGGTCAGATGTAGGATTTGCCACTGGTGATACCATGCCAACACTCAAGAAAGTTTTAGATTTGGAAGCATTAAAATTTTCAGGTTTTGGATTTGGAGTATTCTATCTGTATTAGGCAACCTAAATTTATTTTTGTAAGTGAGTGAAATCATACATCCTTTCTTATGATTTCTGTTAGAGCAGAAAGCTGCTATGGTTTTTGAGAGAACCTGTGTTTACTTTAAGATGTTGAAATTGAATTTTCCAACAACTAGCTGTGCAACTGAATTTGGTTAATTATTTCATTGGGAAAGTATTATTTTATGTCTTACTATACCTAGCCAGTTTGCACAAAATAGTTGATAAATAAATGAGGTACATCCTGAAATGTAGTTGTAACTACCATGGAAAACTGTTTTTCCCAAATTGAGAATCAGCTTCCTTGATAAATAATGCAGTTATCATGACTTGCTTATCTTTCATATTGATGGGATTTTTTAATTTATTATTTGGTAAGGAATTAATTGAGCCTAAAGTATGTCCTGTGTTGTACTGTTTAGGGTCATATGACAATGGTTTGTAATCATATGAATTTGTCATTTTAAGGACAAAAAAGCTAAATATGAAAATTAGAAATATGAAAGCTTTTAGAAGATCTGAATATAAAAATAGCTGTAAGATTTTAGGCACCAGGGCACAGAAGTATGAAAAGACATACTCTTTGCTATCATGGTACTATTACAGCCATAATCCAGGTTTAGAACAATGTGGATCTGAACAAAGAGTGACAGCTGACGTGAAAAGGGAATGTATTATAGTGAGAAATCTTAATAATCCTTCATCTGTTACTTCTACATGTGGAGTCTGAGAATGAGGGAGGATCTTACTTGTAGTGTCAGTCATTGACTACAGAGTACAGAAGGGGAGAATGTTTTAAAATATGGTGGAGAAGACAAGAGTTGGCGATCATAAACGTACTACCTTGACAAGATATGATATTGAACAGGGTGGAGTAAAAGACACTTTTCAGTATGTCCACCATGACTAAAATTTGTGCCTTCAAAAGCAGTTCACTGTGAGCTGAATTGGTAATTTCAGAACAGTTTGTGGAACTGACAATGTAGATTGCAGCAGAACTCAGAGCAGCTGCTCTAATCATGTCCCAGATTCATTTCAGGATCTGAGAGGACACTTGTCTTTACTCAAGTATGTGTTTTTTTTTTTTTTTGTCATTATGCATATATGTCATTGAAATACTGATGAAATAATATCAAAGACTTTCATTCATATGAAAGGTTCAATTAAAGTTCAAAGGAAGCATGTGATTTTTTTTTAAAGATATATTTTATTTTATCTGAAAGGCAGGAGTTAACAGAAAGAGGGAGAGACAGAGATCTTCGATCTACTGGTTCACTCCTCAGATGGCCGCAGCAGCCTGAGCTGGGCTGATCCAAAGCTAGGAGCCAAAACTTCTAGGTCTTCCATGTGAGTGTCGGGCCATCTTCCAATCTTTCCCAGGCCATTAGCAGGGAGCTGCATGAGAAGTGGGACAGACAGGACCTGAACCAGGGCCAAAATGGGATGCCAGTACTGCGGCACACCACTGTACCGGCTCCTGTGATTATGTTCAAAGCAGTGGGACTGTCAGTATAAGCCATGCAAATTATGAGAAGGTAAGGTATGGATATGGTATAGTAAGGATATGTTTTGGGGTGTAGGTGTTCCAACTATGAGAAACAGAGTCCTTCTGAAAGTAAATCTGCCTCAACAGGATTTTTTTTTTTTTTTTAAGATTTATTTATTTGAAAGACAGAGTTACACAAAGGAGAAGCAGAGAGGTCTTCCATATATTAGTTCACTCCCCTAATGCCCTCAGTGACTGGAGTTGGGCCAGTTGAAATCCGGGAGCCAGGAGCTTCTCGGTCTCCTACACAGGTGCATGGGTTCAAGGACTTGGGCCTGCTTTCCCAGCACATATAGCAGAGAGCTGGATGGGAAGTAGAACAGCTGGGACTCGAATCAGCGCCCGTATGGGCGCTTTACCCGCCATGCCACAGTGCTGGCCCCCTGACAGGATTTTTATAAACTTAGTCATGGACATTTTTGTTTCCTCAAAGAATATCTTTATTTTCCTTCCTTCCCCCTTCCTTTTTCTCCTCACTCTTCCCTCCCCCTCCTTTTTCTTCTTTTTCTTTTTAAGATTTATTTATTTATTTGAAAATCAGAATTGCAGAAAGGCGGGGGGGGGGGGTTTCCATCTGCTGATTCACTCCCTAGATGACTGCAATGGCTGGAGCTGTGCCAATTCGAAGTCAGGAGCCAGGAGACTCCTCCAGGTCTCCCACATGGGTGCAGGGGCCCAAGGACCATCTTCTACTGCTTTCCCAGGCCATAGCAGAGAGTTGGATGAGAAGTGGAGCAGCTGGGACTTGAACTGGCACCCATATGGTATGCCGGCACTGTGATATGGCGGCTTTACCTGCCATGCCACAGTGCCGGCCCCTGTATTTCTCATGTTTTCCCTTTTTTGTTTTCATTTTAATGAATTTTTAATAGATTCAATATGATTTAGAGATACAGGTCTAAGAACATAATGATATTCCCTCCCTTCCTCCCTCTCGTGCACGCACTTCTTTCTGTCCTTTTATTTTGAGATTTTTTTAAAATTTATATTACATTAAAAAAGATTCATGCTTCACCAAATAAGAAGTTTAACAAATAAAAGACAGAAAGACTGTAGTGTAGTGTGAATATACACTATAGGTGTAAGCAGTAATTGAATTTATAAATGACCATTTCACCCATATAGTTTATTTTTTTCAGTTATTCATAATTTCTTTCAATGAAATAGAATGAATGACAATGTAATATCTAAGTACTTCTTGTGTTTATAAGATAATAATTCACTTAGACTGTAAGCCATTTCCTTTCAACAGTTTATACATAAGAATAATTTTATGTGGCTTACAATGCAAATAATTATACACTACTTTTTTTTTGACAGGAGTTAAGACAGAGAGGGAGACAGAGAGAAAGGTCTTACTTCTGTTGGTTCACCCCCCAAATGGCCGCTATGGCCGGTGCTGTGCTGATCCGAAGCCAGGAGCCAGGTGCTTCTTTCTGGTCTCCCATGCGGGTGCAGGGCCCAAGCACTTGGGCCATCCTCCACTGCCTTCCCGGGCCACAGCAGAGAGCTGGATTGGAAGAGGAGCAACCGGGACTAGAACCCCGATGTGCCGGCGCCACAGGTGGAGGATTAGCCTAGTGAGCCACAGTGCTGGCCTATATATACTACTTTTTAAAAATACTTTCAGTTACCACAGATCACGGAAAATATGTTATTTGTCTTTTTGTGACTGCCTATTTCACTAAGTGTAATGGTTTCCAGTTACATCCATTTCGTGGTGAATGACAGGAATTCATTGTTTTTTTTTTACAGCTGAGTAATATTCCATATGTACCACATTTATTTTATCCTGCCATTGGTTGATGGGCATCTGGGTTGATTTCATATCTTAGCTATTGTGAATTGAGCTGCAGTAAACATGGAGGGTACAGATAGTTCTTTCATATGCTGATTGCATTTCCTTTGGATAAATTCCCAGGAGTGGGATGACTGGGTCATATGGTAGATATATTTTCAGCTTTCTGAGTAATCTTTTCTGTGTTCCACAATGGCTGTATTAGTTTGCTATCCCATCAACAGTATTTTAGGGAATCTTTTCTGCCACATTCTCCCTAGCATTTATTGTTTGTTGATTTCTGTTACAAGAGCCTCTCTCAGTAGCATGAGGTGAAACTTCATTGTGGCTTTGATTTGCATTTTTCTGATGGCTAGTGATCCTGAGCATTTTTTCATGTGTCAGTCGGCCATTCAAATTTCCACTTTTGAAAAATGTTCAAGTCCTTCACCCATTTCTTAACCGGATTGCATGTTTTGTTGTTGAGTTTCTTGAGCTCTTTATAGATTTTGGATATTAATCCTTTATCAGTTTACAGTTTGCAGCTTTTTTCTCCCATTCTGTAGGTCACCTCTTCACTTTGCTGAGCGTTTCCTTTGTATTGCAATAGCTTGTTGAAATCCAGTTCATCTATTTTTGTTTGGACTGCCTTTGCTTCTGGGGTCTTTTCCAAGAAGTCTTTGCCTTTGCCAGTGTCTTGCAGTTTCCCTGTTCTTTAGTAATTTGATGGTTTCAGGTTGTAGATTTAGATCCTTGATCCATTTTGCGTTGATTTTTGTATAAGGTGTAAGGTAAGGTGTCTTGTTTCATACTTTTGCATACAGAGATTAGACTTTCCCAGACCTGTTTGTTGAAGAGACTGTATTTTTTCAGAAATTGATTTTAGCCTCTTTGTCAAAGATTAGTTGGTTGTAAATGTGTGGATTTATTTCTGAGGATTGTACTCTCTTCCATTGGTATACATGTCTATTTCAGTGCCAGTACCAGTATGTTTTATCATAATTGCCCTGATGTATGTCTTCAAATCTGGTATTCTGATGCCTCCAGCTTTGTTCTTGTGTTTCTGTGTGAATTTTAGCAACATTTTTTTCTAGATGTGAGAATAATATGATTGGTACTTTGGGACTGCATTGATCTGTAAACTGCTTTCAGTAGTATAGACATTTTGATGATATAAGTTCTTCCAATCCACGACATGGAGGGTTTTTCCATTCTTTGGTGTCTTCTTTTATTTCTGTGATGTTTTGTAATTTTCATCACAGAGATCTTTGACGTCCTTGCTTAAATTTATTCCAAGATATTTAAATATTTTTGTAGCTATTGTGAATGAAACTGATCTTAAAAGTTCTTTCTCAGCTGCCCTGGCATTGTCTGTGTGTACAAAGGTGACTGATTTTTATCTGTTGATTTTATATCCTGCCACTTTACCAAAATCTCTAATGAGTTCTGATTAATAGTGTCTTAGTGGAGTCTGGAGTTCCCTGATATATAGAATCATGTCTGCAAATAGGGATAATTTGACTTCCTCCTTTCTAACTTGTATCCCTTTGATTTCTTTATCTCACTTAATGGCTCTTGCTAAAGCTCCCAGGACTATATTGAATAGCAGTAGTGAGAGTGGTCATACTTTTCTGGTTCTGGACGTTAGTGGAAATGCTTCCAACTTTTTCCCTGTTCAGGATGTTGCTGGCTGTGTGTATATTGTATATTGCCTTGATTGTGTTGAAGAATGTGCCAATTTGCTTAAGGTTTTTAACAAAAATGTGTTTTTTATCAAATGCTTTCTTTGCAGCTGTTACAGCTTTTAATTCTTCAGTGTGTTATTGTGATGTTTTACATTTATTGATTTGTGAATGTTGAACCATCCTTGCATACCAGGGATAAATCCCACTTGGTCTGTGTGAATTATCTTTCTGATGTATTGTTGGATTCAATTAGCTAGTATTTTCTGGAGGATTTATACATCTGTGTTCATCAGGGATATTGGTTTATAGTTCTCTTTCTCTGTTATATCTTTTTCTGGTTTTGGAATTAAGGTGATGCTGGCTTCATAGAAGGAGTTTTGGTGGATTCCCTGCCTTTCAATTGTTTTGTACAGTTTGAGAAGAATTACAATTAGTTCTTTAAAAATCTGTTACAATTCAGCAGTGAAGCCATATGGTTTTGGGCTTTTCTTTGTTGCAAGGCTCTTTATTATTGAATAAATCTCCATATTTGTTATTGGTCTCTTGATGTCTTTCCTCAGTTTTGGTAGATTGTAAGTGTCCAAGAATTTATACATTTTTTTCTTGATTATCCAATTTGATGGCATATAGCTGTTTGTGGTAATTTCTGGTGGTTCTTTTTATTTCTGTGGTATCTGTTACATTTCCTTTCTCATCTCTGATTTTATTAATTTGGGTCTAATCCCTTTTTTTTTCCCCTTTAGTTGGGCCAATGGTTTATCAATTTTTTTTTTTCTTTCAAAAAACCAGCTTTTCATTTTGCTGATCTTTTGGATTTTTTGTTTCAGTTTTGTTTACTTCTCTAATTTTAATTATTTATTTCCTCTTACTAATTTGGGGGACGGGTTGTTGTTTTTCTGGGTCCTTGAGATGCATTGATAGCTCATTTGTTTGATGCCTTTCCAATTTGTTGATGTAGGCACCAGTTGCTATAAACTTCCCTCTTAGACTGCTTTTTGTAAACACTGCTTTTGCTGTATTCCATAAGTTGTATTGTTTGTCATCTTCATTTCTTTTCAGGAATTTTTAATTTTCCTTTTGATTTCTTCTATGATGCACTGTTCATTCAAAACATGTTGCTCAGTCTTCATGTGATTGCATAATTTCTAAGAGATTTTTAGGTTTTTAATTCCTAGCTTCCTTCCATATGGTCAGAAAAGATATATGGTATGATTGCAGGTTTTTTTTTTTTTTTTAATTTGCTGAGACTTGCTTTATGGCCTAGCGTATGGCCTATCCTAGAGTAAGTTAAAAGCACTGATGAAAAATATATTCTCCAACAGTGGATTGAAAGGTTCTATAGATTTCAGTCAAGTCCATTTGGTCCATAGTGTTGATTAGCTCTGTTTTTTTCTTTCTTTTTTTTGTTGATTTTCTGTCTAGATGTGTCCATTGATGAAAGTTGGAGGTTGAAGGTTCCCCATTACTATTGTGCTGGAGTCTGTATCTCTTTATGTCCATTAACATTTATTTTAAATAGCCTAGCATTGGGTGCATATGCATTTATTATAGTCACATCTTCCTGATGAATTGATCCCTTAATCATTACATAATGCCCTTTGTCTCTTTTAACAGTTTCTGAGTTAAAGTCTATTTTGTCTGATATTAGGATGGCTACACCTATTCTTTTCCACTCTCCATTAGCATGGGGTTTCTTTTTTCATCCTTTTACTTTCAGTCTGTGTGTATCTTTGTCGGTGAGGTGTGTTTCCTGTAGGTAGCAAATAGCTGGGTCTTGTTTTTCAATCCATTTAGCCAGTCTGTATCTTTCAACTGGAGAATTGAGGCTTTTTTTTTTTTTTTTACATTCAAAGTTGCTGTTGATAAGTAATGACTTGGCTCTGCCATTTTTTATTTTCATAAATATTCCAGGTTTTTTGGTTTGAATTTCCTTTGTGTTTTTACTGGGAGATTTTCTGTTGTCACATTCTTTCATAGTAATATCTGTCTTTCTGTGTTTCTTGTGTGTAACACAACCTTATGCTTCACTTGTAAGGGTCTATGAGTTGTGACAGAGTCTTTAAATTTCCATTTGTTATGGAAGGTCCTTATTCTACCTTCATTATACATGAGAGCTTTGTGGGGTACAGTATTCTGAATTGAGAGTTTCCTTTAAAACTTGAATTATGTCTCTTCTCTTCTAGCCTGTAAGGTTTCTGGTGAGAGATCAGCTGTGAGTCTAATTGGAGATCTTCTTAAGGCGATCTGGTGTTTTTCTTATGCACATTTTATAATTCTTTATATTTCACTCTTGAAAGTTTGACTACAGTATATCGTGGTGAAGATCTTTTCTGGCCATGTCTATTAGGAGTTCGGTGTGTATTGTGTACTTGGATGTCCCTTTATTTCCCCAAATTAGTGAAGTTTTCTATAATTACTTCACTGAATAGGCCTTCTAATCCACTTTCTCTTTCCATACCTTCAGGAACTCTGTAAGACCTGAATATTGGGTCATTTGATAGTGTCTCACAAATCTTGAACATTGTTTTTAATTTTTATAATTTCTTTTTTTTTTAAAGATTTATTCATTTATTTGAAAGAGTTATACAGAGAGAGGAGAGGCAGAGAGAGAGGTCTTTCATCCGATGGTTCACTCCCCAATTGGCTGCAATGGCCGGAGCTGCGCTGATCCAAAGGCAGGAACCAGGAGCTTCTTCCGGGTCTTTCCACATGGGTGCAGGGGCCCAAGGACTTGGGCCATCTTGTACTGCTATTCCAGGCCATAGCAGAGAGCTGGATCAGAAAGGAGCAGCTGGGTCTCCAACCGGCACCCATTTGGGATGCTGGTGCTTTAGGCCAGGGCTTTAACCAGCTGCACCACAGTAATTTCTTACTTTCTAATTTCTTTCTCTTCGATTGTGCCTATTTCCAAAGATTTGTCTTCTAGCTTGGAGATTTTTTTTTTTCTGCCTTACCAAGTCTGTTATTAAAGCTTTCCACTGTATTTTTTTTTTAAGGATTTTATTTATTCATTTGAAAGGTAGAGTTATAGACAGATGAAGAGATGAGAGAAAGGTGTTCCATCTGCTGGTTCACTCCCCAGATGGCCGCAAAGGCCAGAACTGCACTGATCTGAAGTCAGGAGCCAGGAGTTTCTTCCTGGTCTCCCACACGGGTACAGCGGCCCAAGCACTTGGGCCGCCTTCTACTGCTTTCCCAGGCCATAGCAAAGAGCTGGATTGGAAGAGGAACAGCCGGAACTAGAACCAGTGCCCGTTAGGGATGCTGGCGCCGCAGATGGAGAATTAACCTACTGCACCATGGCACCAGCCCCTCCACTGAATTTTTAATTTGACATTGAATTCTTTATTTCTGGAACTTCAGTTTGATTTCTCTTCAGAATCTCAATCTTATGGGAGAATTTTAAGATCTATTTTATTTATTGGACAGTTACAGAGGGGTAGAGAGAGGTCTTCCATCTGCTGGTTTACTCCCCAAATGACTGCAGCGGCTGGAGTTGAGCTGATCTGAAGCCAAGAGCCATGAGCCTCTTCTGGGTCTCCCATGCGGGTGCAGGGACCCAAAGCTATGGGCCGTCTTCTTCTGCTTTCACAGGCCATAGCAGCGAGCTGGATCAAAAATGGAGCAGCTGGGACTTGATCTGGTGCCCATATGGGTTGCTGGTGCTGTAGGCTATGGCTATTTAACCCCCTGCACCACAGTGCCGGCCCCATGTATGAATTATTTAACTCGTGAATTTGCTTCTTACTGCTTCTGAGTAATCCTATAATCATTCTTCTGAATTCCTTCTCAGGCATTTCATCAATTTCTTCTTCTCAACCTTCTAATATTGAAGTGTTGTTGTGTTCCTTTGGGAGAGACAGGTTGTTTTCCTTGTCTTGTTTCTTGTATTTCTGCATTTATTTTTAGGCATTTGTGGAGGTACTTACTGGTTTTCTCCACTGATGAGATTTATCTTTGTGGATTGGTGGATGATCTCCTTCAGTACATACCCAGTGGCATGTCCTGAGTGTAGCCAGAGAGCTCTGGTTATGACTCAAGGGTGGAGTGAGAGAATCCAGGGTGACACCCACGTTGGGCATGGTAGGTCAGCAGAGGAGGGTACGAACACATTTGTTGATGTAATCACAGTCTTACCTCCTCTCTTCCAAGGGGATTGATGCCCTAGGTTAGCCCACTGTGGGTATAATCCTCACCCACAGTGGCACAAGAACTGCAGAAGGGATCTGTGCAATCCTCAATGTGAGTACTGAAGCCTCTGCAATGACTCAGCTCCAGGTAGTCAGGGAGCTGGGTTTCTGATGAAGACATGGTGATGGCCCAGAGACCCCACTATACCCCACACTCTGTCACACAGTCACAGGATTCCCACAGTCATCGTGCACAAAGCTCCCACAATCACAGTCTCTCTGTCCCGTGAACCTGCTCTGTCTACAGAGAGAGCAGAGTCGTTTCCAGAGCCAGCTGCCTGTGTGTGTTCTGGCTTGTCATTTTGTGCCCCTGAGCCTGTGATAGGGTGAGAGGATGGGGACAGCTCACAGTCCTAAGTGTGTACCCAGCCTCCTCTCAGCCCTCCCATACAGACTCAGTGTAAGTGGGAATTGCAGAATTTTTTCCTCTGGTAATATTCCCTCATTGTGTTCATGAGAGCCACTATTGCCTCTAGTTTAGTCAAGGTGGTGACTTCTCCCCACCAGTTGCTGGTGGCCTTGCGGAGGAATGGGGAAAAACATGTGGTTTTCCTTTGCTGGATTAGGTGGGTACCATACCCCGCTTATGGCTGTAGGCAGACTCAGACAGTGCATTCCACAAAGTTCTCCCTCATGTAGTATCAACAGTTGCATGGGCTGCCACAGTCTGCCTTAACCTCGCTCTCAGAATCTGGTGTTTCCTCTAGCCTCTGGCTGCAGGAGTTGTGGGTGATGTCCCTGCTCACTGCTGTAAGTCTGCGCTTTCCATTCTGCTCCTTGGTGTGTTTCTTTCTGTAGAATTTCCACTGCAGGCTTCTCTCCAGTTCTCTCCTTTTCTTCTGCTATATTCCCCTGGTCGTCATCAGCATGTCTTTTCCCTATTCAGCCGTGTTCGTCATGAATGTTTTAAATGATTAACAGCAGTGAGAATGCTAAACATGAATTTGTGTTTTATCTTGCTGTGTGTTTACAGTCTTTGGAAGAGGATAAAATATACTGTGTTAGATATCTGAACTCTAGATTCAATCAAGGCGATCTAGGATTTAGGATGCTTATCTGACATCTCTTGTATTATGTCGACACTATGATATATCCACTAGAGAACATTGTTTTGAGGAGTAAGTGACCTGATACATGTGATGTGACCAGTATAGAAGCTTTTTAGTCCTTCAGTACTAATCATAAAACATCCTCCAGCATACTTAGTACCACCCTTGCACTCATGACACTTCCATGTTGAAATGCTAAGTGAAAGTAATTGTTTCATTTCCATGATATCATTGACTTTGTCCTTTGGGATTCTTTCTGAGATCATTCACTCAGCTTACCACTTGAAAAATTTCGGAACTACATTAGTTCCTGTTCTGCATATAATTTATTATTCAATGATTGCATCCCTTGCATTTTTTATGTGCAATTTACAAAAATTTTAGTTATTTATAATTTATCATGTGATGGTTGATATACCTTGTAAAATGATTATCATACCCAAGGTACACATTCATAACCTTACACAGTTCCATTTCCATTTAAAAATAAATGAAAACACTTGGCTACCATGCTGTACATTAGCTCTCTCAGATTTATTCATCTGGCAAAATTGAAACTTGAGCCTTTGATCGGTGTGTCCGTGTTGCCCTCTTCCCCTACAACTACTATTTTACTCTCTGCTTAACTAATTTAACTTACTTATTTTTAAAGATTAGGGGAGTAGAGGTGCAGAGATATTCTATCTTCTGGTTCACTCCCAGATGGCCACAACACCATGGGTTGGACCAAGCTGAAGCCAGGAGTCAGGAACTCCATCTTGGTCTTCTGTATGAGTAGCATGGACCCAAGTGCTTGAGCCAGCACCTGCTGCTTTCCAGGCTTAGCAGGAAGCTGGATTGGAAGCAGAGTAGCCAGGACTGAAATCTGCATGTTAGTATGGCCTAACTAGTGGCTTAACCCACTGTGCCACAACACCCACCTCAAGTTCAGCTTGTTTAGATTCCACATGTAAGCGAGCTTATATAGTATTTGTGTGTGGCTTCTAAACATAGTGTAATGTCCTGTTCATCCATGTTGTCAGAAAATGGAGGATTTCCTTTTATATTACTAAATAACAGCATCACACCATACCACACAGCATCACATCTTCTTTATCTTTCATCTTGAGAAGGACGTTTCAGTGGTTTCCATATTTTGACTGTTGCTAGTAATACTGCAATGATCATGGTGGTATAGATGATTTCTTCTGAAGTAGGATTGCTGAATGTTATGGTAGTTCTGTTTTTAATTTTTTGGGGCCCTCTATTGATTCCTAATTGTTGAACTGATTTATAGACCTCCTTCTATAATCAAGAGTTTGCTTTTCTCCATACCCTTGCCAACAGTTTATTATTATTTTTGGTCCTTTTGATCATAGCCATCATAATAGGTGTGAGATGATACCTCATTGTGGTTTTGATTTGTGTTTCCCTAATGATTTGTGATGTTAAGCAACTTTTCATATGCCTGCTGGACATTTGTATGCATTCTTTGGAATAATGTCTGTGCAGTTCCTCTGCCACTTTTTTTTCTAAGCATTTCTGCTTTTTTTTTTTTTTTTTCTCCTGACAGGCAGAATTAGGCAGTGAGAGAGAGAGAGAGACAGAGAAAGGTCTTCCTTCTGTTGGTTCACCCCCTAAATGGCTGCTACGGCGAGTGCTGCGCCAATCCAAAGCCAGGAGCCAGGTGCCTCCTCCTGGTCTCCCATGCGGGTGCAGGGCCCAAACACTTGGGTCATCCTCCACTGCCCTCCTGGGCCACAGCAAAGAGCTGGACTGGAAGAGGAGCAACTGAGACAGAACCGGCACCCCAACTGGGACTAGAACCCGGGGTGCTGGCACCGCAGGCGGAGGATTAGCCTAGTGAGCCATGGCACCCACCACCTGCCAATTTTAAAATTGCATTTTTTTCCCTCAATTGAGTTGTTTTGTGTAGTTTTAATATCCTGATACGTTTTGCATATAAACCCCTTACCAAATGTATAGTTTGCAATTTTCTCCTATGTTATGGGTTCTCTTTTGTTTTGCTTCCTTTGCTATACGGAAACTTGCTATCTTGATACAGTCCCACCTGTTTATTTTTATCTTTATTGCCTCTATTTTTTATGTCAAATCTAAAGAAATTCATTGCCGAGATCCGTCTCTTTAGAGCTAAATCCTATGTTTTCTTCTAGGAATTTACAGGTTCAGATCATACATTTAAAATAATTCACTTTTACTTAAGTTTTGTGTGTGGTATGAGGATACATTTTCATTTGTTTGTGAATATCTGGGTTTTGCTGTTGTGGGCACACAACACCAGTTGTTGAAGAGGCTGTTCTTTCCCTGCTGCGGGCCAGGCTGAAGCTAGGAGCTAAGAACTCCATTCAGGTCTCCCACATGGATGACGAGGGCTCAGGTACTTGGACCGTCTTCTGCTGCCTCCACAGGCACATTAGCGGGGAGTTGGATTTGAAGCAGAAGAGCCAGGACTCAGTCTGGCGCTTTGATACAGTATGCTGTGTTGCACCACAATGCGGACCCTCCCCGGTACTGTAGTGGGCCATTTCATGGTTTCCTAGGGTTTATAAAATCATGTCATTTACAGACGCAGTTTAATTGTTTGCTTCCCAATTTGGATGCTGTTTATTTCTTTTTCTTGGCCTGATTGCTCTGACTAGGGCTGCTAGCACTGTGTTAGAACTGCTCAGAATGGGCATTCGTCTCTTGTTCTTGGTCTGGAAAGCTTCCAGTTTTTTGCCATTGAGTGTGATGTTTACCATGGGCTTTTCTGATGTAGGCTTCGCTTTGTTAGCCACATGCCTTCTATACTGACTTATTAAGAGTTTTTTAATCATGAAAGGGAAATTTTGTTGAATGCTTTTTCTGTATCTGTTGAAATGATCTTAGTGTTTTTGTTCTTCCTGCTGTTATGATGTATTTTGTTTATTGGTTTGTGTATTTTGAGCCACCTTTGTTTACATCCTTCCCAGGAAAAATTCGCTCTTGATCATGGTATGTGATCCTTTGATTTGGTTTGCTAGTGATTTGTTGATGGTGTTTTTTAATTTACGCTCATCAAGGACATTGGCCTTTGGGCAATGGGTAGTGGTGCCTTCATAAGGTGAATTTGGAAATGTTCTGTCCTACTCAGTCTTTGGGAAGAGTTTAAGAAGGATTGGTGCAGAGCCGGCGTTGTGGCGCAGCGGGTTAAAGCCACGGCCTGCAGCACCGGCATCCCATATGGGCACCGGTGCCGGTTCATGTCCCAGCTGCTCTGCTTCCAATCCAGCTCTCTGCTATGGCCTAGGGAAGCAGTAGAAGATGGTCCATGTCCTTGGGCCCCTGTGCCCGCTTGGGAGACCTGGAAGAAGCTCCTGGCTCCTGGCTTTGGATCAGCTCAGCTCTGGCTATTGCGGTCATTTAGGGGAATGAACCAGTGGGTGCAAGACCTCTCTGTCTTTGGCTCTACCTCTCTCTGTAACTCTGACTTTCAAATAGGTAAAATAAATCTTTAAAAAAAAAAAAAAAGATTGGTGTGGGGCCAGTGTCGTTGCACAGTAGGTTAATCTGCTGCCTGTAAAGTCAGTATCCCACATTGGGGCACTGTTAGAGTCCTGGCTGCTCTGCTACCAATTCAGCACCCTGCTGATGTACCTGCGAAGGTGATGGAGGATGGTTCAAGTATTTGTATCTCTGCCACCCATGTGGAAGACCAGGATGGAGTTTCTGTTTCCTGGCTTTAAGCCTGGCCCAGTCATAGCTGTTCGGACCATTCTCGGAGTGAACCAGCAGATGGAAGGTATCTCTCTCTGTCTTTCCCTCTCTGTAGCTCTGCCTTTCAAATAAATAAATATTTTTTGTTTGTTTGTTTGTTTAAAGAGTAGAGGTAGGTGAAGGAGAATTGGTGTTAATTCTTCCTTTAAATGTTTGGTGGAATTTACCTGTGAAGCCATCTGGTTCTGGGTGTTTCTTTGGAGGCTTTAGATTATTGATTTTAGTCTCCTTAGTTAGAAGCCTGTAATGATTTTCTGTTCCTTCAGTTTCAGTCATTGCAGGTTGTATGGTTCCAGAAATTCATCCATTTCTTCCAGGTTATCAACTTCTTTGGTTCATAATTATTAACAGTAGTTTCTTTGCCATTAATTGGAGTATATCCTCTCATTTTTTTATTTTACTTGGGTTCTCTTTTCAAGTAAAGGTTTGTGAATTTTGTGTATCTCTTCAAAAACCAATTGCTTTCATTGATCTTTTCTTTTATACTTCCTAGTTTTTCTAATCTGTTATTTCCTTCCTTCCTTCCTTCTGTTTAAGCCTATAGTATTTATTTCTTTTATTCTTTTAGAAGATTTATTATTTTATTTATTTGAAAGAGTTACAGAGAGGTAGAGACAGAGAGAGAGGTCTTCCATCTGCTGGTTCACTCCCCAGATGGCTGCAATGGCAGGAGCTGTGCCGATCCAAAGCCAGGAGCCAGGAGCTTCTTCCGTGTCTCCCACTTGGGTGCTGGGGCCCAAGGACTTGGGCCATCTTCTACTGCTATTCCAGGCAATAGCAGAGAGCTGGATTGGAAGAGGAGCAGCTGGAACTAGAACCTGTGCCCATAAATGGATGCCAGCGCTTCAGGCCAGGGCTTTAACCCACTGTCCCATGGCACTGGTCCCCTTATAGTATTTATTATTTTTAGGCAGTCTCCTATCCCACCAAAAAAAAAAAAAAAAAAACAAAAAAAAACACACCTCTAGGAAATTTTCACCATAGAATGAAAAGTCATTATAGGTTGAAATTAAATTATCTAGGATATTTGGGCTCAGAAATGTTTCAGGTTTGGGATTTTTTTTTTATTTTGTTATGTTAGTTGAGCATCCTATAATTTGAAAATCTGAAATCTGAAATGCTTCAAAATCTGAAATTTTTTAATGTCATGCCAGCAGTCAACAAATTTCAGATTTCAGAGCATTCCTGATTCCAGCTTGTTTGTGATTTCACTATAGAAATAAATTTTAGTTTCTTCACTGTGCTGTACAGTATGTGTAGCAAGATAAGGGTGCATGACTTCAAGACACATGCAAGTCTTCACAAGCCATGTGGTGAGGATGTCAGAGTTTGGTACAGAGTACTCTGAGAACCTCTCTTTGGAGGAAGGAAACTGTCTTGGAATCAAAGAACACAAGGATATATTGGGCGATAGGAAGAATTTTGACTTCTTTGGTGGGAGGAAAAAACATTAAAAGTATCTGCTACTTTTACAAAACCATGTCAATTGCATGTTGCTGGAACATAAGGGTAATAGCAAAAATAAAGGATTAAAAGACAGTTTGAACACTGGTATATAACATTTTCCATCTTATACTCTTTTTTAAAATTTATTTATTTATTTGAGAGGTAGAGTTACAGAGAGAGAGGATAAGACAAAGAGAAAGGTCTTCCTTCCGTTGGTTCACTCCCCAACTGGCCGCAACAGCCGGAGCTGCACCAATCTGAAGCCAGGAGCCTGGTGCCCCTTCCCGGTCTCCCAGATGGGTGCAAGGGCCCAAGCACTTGAGCCATCTTCTGCTTTCTCAGGCCACAGCAGAGAGCTGGACTGGAAGAGGAACAACCGGGACTAGAACCCATGCCCATATGGGATGCCGGCGCCGCAGGCTGAGGATTAACCTGAGGTGCCACGGCACCGGCCCCACATTTTATACTCTTACATATGTTTCCCTTCATTTTTAATTTTAGTTGGTTGAGATTTTTTGTGTTTTTTTTTTAAGATATATTAATTTGGGAGGTAGAGTTACAGAGAGGCAGAGAAAGAGAGATCTTCCAACTGCTGGTTCTCTCCCCAAATGACTGCAGCAGCCGGCTGGAGCTGGGCTAACCAGAAGCCAGGACCCTGGAGCTTCTTCCAGGTCTCCCACCTGGGTACAGAGCCCCATCCACCTGGCCATCTTTTGCTGCTTTCCCAGACTTATTAGCAGGGAGCTGGATCAGAAGTGGAGCATCCGGGACTTGTACTAGTGCCCATATGGTGTGCCTGCACTACAGATGGCTTTACCCACTGTGCCACAGTGCTAGTCCTTTTTGTGTTCTTGATTGTTATTTAGCTTCTAGAAGGAATAATTACCAATTTCATTCGTTGGAATTTGTTCTGAACACTTTCAGCCACTTAATTACATCCTACCCAAAGGAGCAAGCTTTTGGGTATCCACATTTGTATTCCACAAATCCCACTTTTTGGTTGCAGGTGGTAACCAGTTCCCTTTGTTGCAGCTGCCTTTCTTGCATAACTTTATACAGAACCTTTTCTGAGGGTACTACTTATTACGCATATTTGCCGCTAACAGAGTGTTTCTAAAGATCTAATGTGAAAGGTTTTGCCGGATAGTTCCTGTAATAATTATTGCATAGCACATATTTCTTTGAGAAATACAGTACTTGAGCACTTATCTAGAATTAACATGAAGGTAGAAAAGGGACGAGGGGTTTGTTTACCCAAAACCCACAATACATTTTCATATACTGATTGTTACTTTTAATAACAGTTGTGTTGCTACATAGTCAAAATCCTCTCATCCTACAGAGAGAGGCTCACAAGTGTTGACGTGATTAGAAGTGATTCATTTTTTAATCTGCTTATTGAATAATTTCATCCACAAATAGACATACTCTTATGTGTTTATATTTCATGCTTGCCATGTTATATATATATGATATAATATAAGGTTTGTAAGCTATCTAACTGAAATCACCTTAGAAATAATAGATGTAATATTTTTAAAAGATTGTCAGAAAGCAATTAAAAGAATTTCATGTTATAAAAGTTTTTATTTCCCCTCAGAAAATTTTACCCAGAGATTACTTTAATAGTTTTGCCAAGTGTTCTAATTTCCTTATAGAAATATTGTTAGTTATCCATCATCCTATCATAGTGTCTCATAGGAGATTTTATCTTTAAAAAAGTTAATGGGCAGAATTTTTTCATTCTTCACACTTTGTCATTGGGAGAAAGCTATTGTTTCTTTATAAAATGAAATGAGTAGCAATATTAATCATCAGACGTTTGTTCTTTAGGAATTAACTTGCCATTTAGCAAAAATATAATTTTAAACCCCAGAAATGATCCAGATTTAAATAATAGTGTTAATTAAAATCATTTTTTCCCCTCTTTTTCTTGTTCTGTTCTTTTGGCCTCTTATTTATTTATTTATTTAAAAGGCAGAGAGGCAGAAGCAGAGAGAGAGAGAGAGAGAATCTCCCACCCCCTGGTTCACTCCCCAGATGGCCACAATGGCCAAAGCCAGAAGCCAGGCACTTCTTTCTGGTCTCCCACGTAGGTGCAGGGGCCCGAAGACTTGGGCCATCTTCTACCGCTTTCCCAGGCCGTAGCAGAGTTGGATTTGAAGTGGAGCAGCCACTAGTACACAGTGCTGGCTCCCTCTTCTGGCTTTTAAAGTTGCTCTTAGCTCAGACTGTTTGAAATTATTTTCTTTGAATGTGTTCTGACATTGTTTTAATTGAATGAAACTGCAGAACTGGCATGATAAATCAACATAGAATAAATTTTAATGCAAGACAAATGATATTAACTTGGAAATTGGTTGCACAAGACAAAGCAGCTGCTATGATTAATTTTTTTTTCATTCTCTACTTGCAATGTTTTGAGAAGGGTGACCTTGACAATTCAGTTGTCTTTAGAATCTTGATGGTATGTACTTTAACATACTTGGAGTATTATACTCTGTTGGTTCTTGAGGACAGTAACAATTGGTTCATTTTTAAAGTTAGGAAAATTTTATCACAGATTTAATGTTTTGGTTTTAGCTTGCTCAAAATGTTTTTATTTTAAGTAATAATTGTGATGGTTAATTAGCTGTGGTTTAAGCTTTGTAGTTTAGACCAACTGGTTTAACAGGTCGAAACAAATTATGCTGATTATTTGATGTACTAAATAATATCCAGTCGTAAATAATATTTAATGTACTAAGTAATCTCCAATCACAATGCACTTAATCACAGTATACTTTGCTTTTTTTTTTTTTTTTTTTTTTTGAGTTTGATGGTTGCCTGTACCTTGCCCAGTCTTTCTGTTCCTTTTATTAAGGTTTAGTTATTTTTTTTGAAAGGCAGAGAAGGAGTGCGAGTGAGTGTTCTTCCATCTGCTAGCTCTTTCTTCAAATGGCTACAACTGCTGGGGCTGGGCCAGGCGGAAGCCAAGAGCCAGGAACTCCATCTGGGTCTCCATCGTGGTTGGCAGGAGCCGAGCACCTGGGCCTTCTTTTGCTGCCTTCCTAGGCACATGAGCGGGGAACTAGAAAGGAAGTGGAGCAGCTGGGACTCAAACTGGAGCTCAGAATGGACACTGGCATTGCCAGCAGCAATTAACAGCCTTAACCTGTGGTGCCACAAAGAACGCCACAACTTTGCATTCTTTCCAAGCGTATTTACAAAAGTTGGCCATATGCTTTGCTGCAAAGCCAGCCTAGAACACATATTAAAGGACTAGTGTACATAGTATATTTTCTGATGGTAGTTCTGGAAGCTGGAAATTAAAAAAAAATAAAGATAATTAGGCAGTTCTTATGTTTGAAATGGAGAAAATACATTTTGGGGCTGTTGCTGTGGTGTGGCAGGTAAAGCTGCTGCCTGCGTTGTCCACATCCCATGTGGGTGGCAGATCGAGACCCAGCAAGCAGCTTGACTTCTGATCAGCTCCCTGCTAATGTGCCTGAGAAAGCAGTGGAGGATGGTCCAAAAGCTTGGGCTCCTGGACCCATGTGGGAGACCCAGAGGAAGCTCCTGGCTTCAGCCTGGCCCAGCCCTGGTCATTGTGGCCATTTGGAGAGTGAACCAGTGGGTGGAAGATCTCTCTCTTACTCTGCCTTTCAAATAAATAAATGGCCTGTGTCTGTAGTTATGCTTTTGAAGTTGCCTGGCTGTGGACATTGATGGTGACTGGGTCACGTGCTTTTATTGTCCCGCGGGTTAGCCCAAGATTGTTGACATGGGAATAATAGGCCTCTAAGATAGTTTGACCAGCTAAGACTGACATTAGGCTTTCAACTGATACATCATTCTTTTCATTTTATTGTATTGGCATTCTTCCATTATATGGTGTTGGCCAAAGTAAATCATGGTGGTAACATAGATTCTAGAATTGGTAGAAGGTACAAATTTACATTAGCAAGAAGACAATGAGGCGTGACTGGTATTGTTGCGTAGCATGTGATGCCTCTGCCTGGGATGCCTGCATTCCATATGGGCCACAGTTCATTTTCCTGGCTGCCTACATTTGATCCAGGTCTTTGCTAATGGCCTGGGAAAAGTAGTAGATGTTCTAGGCACTTGGGCACCTACCATCCACTTAGGAGACTGGGATGAAGTTCCTGGGCTTCTGGCTTCGACCTGGCTTAATCCTGACTGTTGTAGCCATGTTGGGAGTCAACCAACATATGGAAGGTTGATGACTCTATCAAATAAATAAATAAATCTTAAAGACAATGAAGGATTGAGAATTGATATATTTGAAGTTAGCCTACCATAGTGAACAAAAACAAAATGGATTTCTTTGAAAAGACTAGAAGAATGATCCAGAAAAAGAAATGTTGATAAACTATCAGAAAAAAGAAATATGATATCCTTACAGTTCAAGCTTAGACTGTAGATACATTTCTGAATAAATACAATTTAACAAAAAACTTGTCACAGAGAAAACTCTAGGCCTAGGTGGCTTTTACCAGTTCTATTTAAATGTTTAGATAAGAAATAGCAGTGGTCTTACTCATGCTCATCCAGAGTAGAAAAAGAGGCTAGAATAATCTTCATGCTAAAATCTAAGAGGCATATTTTGAGAAAAAATGTAACAGGTCAATTGCATTCTTGAATGTAAATTTTAAAATAATTACCAAATGTTAGGAAAGTGAATGTAGCAATTTGTAAAATAGTGCATCTTGATCAACTTTAGTTTATTTGAGCAATTTAAGATTAGATTGACATTTTATTTATTTATTTTTAAAGATTTATTTATTTATTTGTAAGTCAGAGTTACACAGAGAGAGGAGAGAGCATGAGGTCTTCCATCGGCTGGTTCACTCCCCAGTTGAGCAAAACGGCCAGAGCTGCATCGATCTGAATCCAGGAGCCAGGAGCTTTTTCTGGGTCTCCCACACAGGTGCAAGGGCCCAAGCACTTGAGCCATCTTCTACTGCTTTCCCAGGCCATAGCAGAGAGCTGTATTGGAAGTGGAGCAGCTGGCACCTGATTGGGCACCTGATATGGGATGCTGGCACTTCAGGCGAGGGCTTTAATCTGCTGTACCACAGTGCTGGCCCCAAAATTTTATTTATTTGAATGGAAGAGAAAGAGACCTTCTGTCTTCTGGTTCTCTCCCCAAATGCCTGCAACAGCTGAGAATGTGTATCTTCAAAATCAGTGGATTACTTCTTGAAATCTGGAACAAGTCAAAAATGATACACATTTATTTGTAGTGAGCTGGAGATGTATTGCCAGTGTTATGTAAACATGAGAAGAATTAAAGAAAGATACAAAGTTGGGATAGAATTGTCATTATCTACATGTGATAATGATTATTTACATAAGGAATTCAGAAGTACCTGCAGAACAGTATGTATATCATTGAAAAATGAACAAGGTTGATAAAGGAAACCTAATTATGTGTTTGTACACAAGGAATAGAAAGTGAAGTTCAGAAGACGTAATAGGAAAAATCCTACAAGTTATACCTTTTTTCTTTTCAGTTTGAGAAGCAGACACAGAAAGTCAGACAGAGCTCTCCTTATTCATTCCCCAAATGCCTACAACAGCTGGGACTGGGCCTTCATTCCCAGGAGCTGGGAACTCAATCCAGGTTTCCTTTGTGGGATGTGGTTGGCAGGGACTCAAATTAGTTGAGCCATCCTAGCGTCTTCCCTGACAGTAAGAGGTAATTAGGAGCCAGAACTGGGACTTGAACTTTGGCACTCTGATGGGTAGCATAGGCACCTTAGCTGTCATCTGCTGGATCAAATGCCTGTCCCTTGAATTATATCTTAACATAAGAATTTAAAAACTATCAGAAAGATGCACATTCTTGAGTGAAATAAAATGACCTAACTAAATGATACTTTGTGTTCATGTTTCAAAGACTTTTTTTTTTTTTTAATTTATTGATATATTTGAAAGGCAGAGTTAGAGACACAGTGCTGGCTCATTCCCCAAATGGCTGGGGCTAGATCAGGCTGAAGTCAGCAGCCTGGTACTCCATCAGGGTCTCCACTTGGGTGCAGGGGCCCAAGGATGTGAGCCATCTTTCACTGTTTACCCAGGCTGGATTAGAAGTGGAGCAGCTGGGACTCAAACTGGTGTCCACTTGACATACATGTGAAAGATGTGAACAATTAAGTTTAACAAAGATATTACAGAAGAGTATGTTTGATATTATTGGGGTGGGGAAAGATTTTTTTTAAACAAATGCAGAAAACATGAACTGTGAAGAGAAGGTTGATACTTGAACTTTAACATTAAAAATTTAGACAAGCAAGCATTTGACTTAGTGGTTGAGAATGCCAGTATCTCACATCACATAATGTGCCTGGTTGGATTCCTGGCTTCCACTTCTTTTTCCAGCTGCCTTCCAGAGCAGAGCCTAGGAGGCAATAGGTGATAGCTGAAGTGATTGAGTTCTTGCCTCCAAATGTGTGGGAATCCGGAATTGAGTTTGTGTTTCTGGTTTCCAACTCCTGGCTCTAGTTCCCATTGCCTGACAACTGTAACCAATATTTGAGTAACCCATAGATGGCAGTTCTCTTCAGTAGTCTCTCTGCCTCTCAAATAAAATAATAGTAATAGTAATAATAATAATAATAATAAAATCTTTCCAGTCATCGTAAGACACCATTAAAGGAGACATGAAACCACAGGCTGGGAAAAGGTATATGGTATACTTGTACTCACAAAGTAAAAATCAGTAAGGAAAGGACACAGTAGAAAATAGGAAACTTCAGATGTACTTCAAAAGGACTTCTGAAATGACCAGTCCACCTAAGAAAAAAATACTGGACTTTATTAGTAATCAGAGGGATGTCAGCATGGTAACAAAGTAACATGGGCCATAAGAAGTGTTAGGAAGAAGATGAAAACAAAGTTCTCATCCTCTTTGGGGATGCAGATGTGTACCATTTTTAGAAAGTAGTTTAATACTGTCTACTAAAGTGGCTTAGTTTTTACATTACATCACATTCTTTTTTTTACCTCAAGGTCAGTCCCTTTTCCTGTTCCTTTATCTTGATTGTACTGGCTTTTCCCTTTTAGAGCGCTTCCTAAAGTCTTTATTTATATTTAAGTTTGAAGCAGTGGAAGTTTTTTTTTTTTTTAAGATTTATTTATTTATTTATGTGAAAGGAAGAGTTATATACAGAAGAGGCAGAGAGAGAGAGGTCTTCCATCTGCTGGTTCACTCCCCAGATGGCCGGAATGGCTGGAGCTGCGCCGATCCGAACCCAGGAGCTTCCTCTGGGTTTCCCACATGGGTGCTGGGGCCCAAGCACTTGGGCCATCTTCCACTGCTTTCCCAGGCCATAGCAGAGAGTGGATCGGAAGTAGAGCAGCCGGGACCTGAACTGGTGCTCATATGGGGTGCCAGCACTGCAGGCGGTTGCTTTACCTGATATGCCACAGTGGTGGGCCCCTGAATGTTTGAATGCAAGAAAAGGAAAGTGCCTAGTTGACTAAATAAATAAATAAAAAGCACCCATGGGTTTTTGTTAAACTGATGGTAACCAGTCATTTTTTTGAGTCTTTTATGCAAATGAAGAAAATTTACTTTTCAGTTTCAAAGTTAGTCTATTCTTCCTTTTGGCTTAAAAGAAAACTTGTGTATATAAATACTAGAAATTTCTGTTGAGGGATGATGATAATTTTTATATGATAATTTATATCACTGTCCTATTCATGAGAAGAGTTCAGGCTCTTGATAAAAAATAGTACAAATTAAAGGCAGAAATGGAAAAGAGAAAAGAACATCATGATGCCGATATAAAATTTTGCGAAGAATTGGTTGAAAATCATGTGCTCATTTAGCATAGGGTGGAATCCAAATTTGAACATCAATGTTTCGGTGTGTAACTCAAACTTGTCTGTCAGCAATTCCCTGGAAGTTGATTTGTTAAGTAAATAATACAGAACCCCACCACCACCACCACCACCACCAAGGATTTCCATAAAAGTAGTGCAATTGCTATTTAAGAAACAGTTGGGTTTTATAGGAAGGATTTGTGTTCTTGAGTGGCATCTGATAGTTCATCAAAATCTTTACTGTATTCTGGTTTAGATTACTTGTTGATGGATAGTTCAATATGGTACCTGTCTTAGCTATACTGTTGCTGTTAATTCATAGTCTATATTAATGCATATAAAAGTTTTGTGCTAAAACATGGGTGAAACAATAGTGATACTCTATGCTTGACAAGAAATTCATAAGGGCTGTAGATGTTATTAGAATTTAAAGAACATTTAACTTAAGTAAAAAGGAAATATACATGCATACCTTAATATAATTTTGGGAGCTGCAAATTCTAGCAAATGAATAATTTGTGGTGACTTTTTTTTTTCTAGTTTAATTTTGTTGGGAGAATCCTTGGACCTAGAGGACTTACAGCTAAGCAACTTGAAGCAGAAACAGGATGTAAAATAATGGTCCGAGGCAAAGGCTCAATGAGGGATAAAAAGAAGGTAAGTACTTAAAAACAGGTTGAATCTTTTTGTGAATAATATACTTAAACTTTTCCATCCTGATACTAAAATATCTAGGTATTTTATAGATGCAATAATACTGTATTCATAAATTTAAACTTTTATTTATTTTATTTTCCCTTGTTAGTCATCATTTTTCACTTAGTGAAATAAAATTCAGTTCATCGTATTAATTTTTGTATTTATATGTGAGAAACTACCAGTTTGGAAAGTAGTCCTACTATGATGTTGTGAATATATAAAAATATTGTAACTAAAAGCTTGAAAAGTTGAAACAAATGATTTGAAGATAAGAAGTTTAGGGGGAAAAGCCTCAGTAATGTTGATTATCTTTTTTTTTTTTTTTTAAAGATTTTATTTAGTTTATTTGAGAGTTAGGTTTACAGACGGTGAAAGGGAGAGACAGAGAGAAAGGTCTTCCTTCCGTTGGTTCACTCCCCAAATGGCCACAAAGGCCAGAGTGCACTGATCTGAGACCAGGAGCCAGGTACTTCTTTGTGGTCTTTCATGTGGGTGCAGGAGCCCAAGCACTTGGGCCATCCTCCACTGCCTTCCCAGGCTATAGCAGAGAGCTGGACTGGAAGAGGAGCAGCCGGGACAGAACCGGTGCCCGTGTGGGATGCCAGGACCTCAGGCGAGGATTAATCTGTGCCATGGTGCAGGCCCCATGTTGATTATCTTTAAATCTATTCTTGTCAACAGAATTTAAAGATATTTTAATGGATGTGTGTGAGTTCTCTTTGAGAATTTTTAGATGTTTTCTTGACATTTTTATTAGCATCTTTAAAAAAGCATATTCTGAATCTGCCGTGTGGTAATCTTTTCAGGTAATCATGGCTGTGAAGTTCTAATTTCCATATTTGAACTTAGGTAGCATTGGCATTAACAGTACTAATTTAGTTGCCTGTGGACAATGAATGATCTCTTGACTTCTACAGGACAGTTTTCACCAAAAGATTAACATGTATCCATTAAACAAGTCCTTGAGCTCCTATTAAAGCTGTCATTTTGGACCTTCACTCACTCACACAGACTAGGATTAGAGCTTGGAAACACAGTTAGACACTTGAATAAAGATCATTTTCTTCTGTTTTTGACAGAAGAATGGAATGATGAGAGTTAGCTCTGCAACTAGATTGCTTGGATTTGAGTCTTGTTTCTAACAATTACCAGCTTTGTGACCTTGGACAAATGACTTAATCTTTCTGAGCTTGTATCATATAAAATAGGAATAGTAATGTCATTCATCTGTGATTGTGGTGTGAGGATTAAATGAGTTGTAAAGCACTTAGAACAGAGTTTGACACATGGTGAGTGATCAGTTAATGATTTTTTTTTGTAAGTTTAGTCTTAATACTAGGTCAGATATTCTGTTTTATTTTTATATTCATATGATCAATTTTCTTTGTGTTTTAAATACCTCATACTCTGACAGCTTTTCTTTCTGTTTCTTCAGTGGTTAGTACTTCCAAATTCTGTGTTGGTGTCTTTGTTCTTTTTTTAAGATATGTTTTATTTATTTGAAATGTGGTGCTGGGGTGAGGGGTAGAGGAAGAGAGGAGAAAGAGAACTCTTCCACCAGCTGGTTCATTCTCCAAATGGCTGCAATGACCCAGGCTACCTTGTTGGTCAGGCAAGAGCTAGGAACCTGGAACTCCATCTGGGTCTCCCACATGGGTGACAGGGGTTGAAATACTTGGGACCATCTTCCAAAGCCTTCCAAGGCCTTTTAGCAGGGATTGGAAATTGAAGAGCTGGGACTAGAACTGGCACTCATATGCAGGCTGTGGCTTAACCTGCTGTGTTACAACATCAAGGCTTTGATTGCTTTGTTCTTAACCACAAATAGAAATACCTTACACATTTTATTTATTTTTGTTTTCTATCTACCACTGACTTGTGAAATAAAGAAAGCTTAAAGATCACACATAATGTAAGAAAAAATAGTAAAGATATCAAAAAATGAAATTTAGCTACAGATTACATTTATAGTTTTATTAGAATGTTTTAAGATGTATTTGCTTTGGACATAGCAAGTTAATTTGAATGACTGTTATATGTTTGGTATTATCCTGTGAGAATCCTTTAAAGAATTTTTGTATAGATTGTAACTCCAGGAATGTCTTCTATAATCTTATTAAATCATTTTGGTTCATGCTGTAGTTATTCTCGTGTGCTTTTAAAGTGTTAATAAGAGTAGGTTAAAAATTGAAAGTATTGTCATTTGTTGCTTATTATTTTGGGAAATAAAATACCAGAGTTGTTGATGAAAGTAACAAGACTGAGGTATATTTCAGGAGTGATAAAGAAAAAGTCATTTGGCTTTAATCTTTTTTTTTTTTTAACTTTTATTTAGAAAATATAAATTTCCAAAGTACAGCTTTCGGATTAACAGTGGCTTCCCTTCCCCCCCATAACTTCGCTCCCACCTGCACCCCTCCCTTCTGCTCCCTCTCCCATTCCATTCACATCAAGATTCATTTTTAATTATCTTTATATACAGAAGATCGATTTAGTATATATTAAGTAAAGATTTCATCAGTTTGCACCCACACAGAAACACAAAGTATAAAATACTGTTTCAGTACTAGTTATAGCATTACTTCACATTGGACAACACATTAAGGACAGATCCCACATGAGGAGTAAGTACACAGTGACTCCTGTTGTTGACTTAACAATTTGACACTCTTGTTTATGGCATCAGTAATCTCCCTAGGCTCTAGTCATGAGTTGCCAAGGCCATGGAAGCCTTTTGAGTTCGCCGACTTCGATCTTATTCAGACAGGGTCATAGTCAAAGTGGAAGTTCTCTCCTTCCTTCAGAGGAAGGTACCTCCTTCTTTGATGGCCCCGTTCTTTCCACTGGGATCTCACTCGCAGAGATCTTTCATTCCCCCCCCCCCCAGAGTGTCTAGGCTTTCCATGCCTAAAATACTCTCATGGGCTTTTCTATAGAGTTGTCAACATATGTACAAGCTAAGAATGCTAGAAAAATCTTAATTTACTTTTAACAAAAGTGTTATAAAAGAAATGCCATTTGCTAGCATGAGTCCTTGACAAGACTGGTAAACTCAACAAGAGTTGTGCATGTCTATTGTGGAGTTTCCTTGGTGTTTGGTGACACAGAGCAGTAGGTACTAGAAAGAGTGTGTAACAGGAGTGTCGGTTCAGCTCAGGAATTAAATGAAGGGCATAGTTGCCCCTGAAAAGATTTAGCAAATAGGGGAAATTATAAATCCTATGTGCTTTGAATTCTTTTGGGAAGATAGGTAGTACTGTCAACATTCTAAACTGCTGATTTTAAGGATGTGGGTTAATGTGCCCCTTTATTACTTCAGAATTCCTGATGGAGTCAACAGCATTGGCTTTGTGTGGAAATACTAAATGGAACGGTGAGAGCAGAGATTGCAGTCGGGCTTCATAAGAGGCTGTGATCAGGGCTTGGGATATTGTGAGAAACTTTTCTTACCAGCCAACACGCTGTGGGGACGGTCTTTGTCTCTGAAACAGAGTGTGCATACCTAACAGGGCCTGGTTAGAAAGTGTGCTCAAATGAAATTCATTTCTTTTAATGAATACTTCTTTTGATTTAGAGCATGTACTTTGCACCCAGCTCTGGTCTACATTTTAAAAAAAATTTTTTTATTTGAGAAACAGCACCCATCCACTAGATCACCCCCTAGATGCCCACAACAGCCACAGGGTGTGGGTTGGAACAAAAGTCAGGAGCTAGGAACTTAAAACCAGGTCTCTTGTGTTGGTGTCAGGGACCCAATTACCTGAGCACATCCCCTGCTGCATCCCAGGGTTTACATTTTAGTATTTTTGTATTATCAGTGAGGACAAAGAAGCTCAAAGAGATTAATTTTCCAAATGTCTCATGCCAGAAAGTGACAGTCAAAAAAAATGTTTTTAAAGATTTATTTATTTATTTATTTGAGAGGCAGAGCTACGGATAGAGGGAGAAAGAGAGAGAGAGGGAGGTCTTCCATCCACTGGTTCTTCCCCAAATGGCCGCAACAGCCGGAACTGGGCCTATCTGAAGTCGATCCTCCCTACCTGGGTGCAGGGGCCCATGCACTTGGACCATCTTCCACTTCTTTCCTAGGCCATTAGCAGGGAGTTGGATTGGAAGTGAAGCAACCAGGACTTGAACCAGCTCCCATATGCCATGCTGGCACCGCAGGCAGAGGCTTAACTTACTATTATCACAGCACTGGTGCGGGCAGTCAGAATTTGAACTTAGGGAGAAGACAGTTGGCCTAGTGGCTAAGTTGCCTGCATTTTATACTAGAATAGCTGAGTGTGATTCCTGGCACCAGTGGATTCCAGCTTTCTGCCAGTACAGACCCTGGAGGCAATGGTGATGGCTTAAGACATTGAGTTCCACATAGGAGTCTTGGATTGAGTTCCCAGTTCTAGTCCTAGCCCAACCCCTAGCCATTGGGGGAATGAGCCAGCAGAGTGGTAGCACTCCCTGTCTCTCTCTCTCTGCTTCTCACATAAATAAAATTTTAAAGTTTGAACCTAGTGATTAAGATGCCTGTGTGCCTGTGCCCCACATCAGAGTATCTGTATCTGGGTTCTGTTCTCAGCTCTGGCTGCTGACTCCAGTTTCTTTCTAATTATAAACCATTCCTAGGAGCGTTATCCTTTTTTTTTTTTTTTTTTTGACAGGCAGAGTTAGAGACAGAGAGAAAGGTCTTCCTTTTCCATGGGTTCCTGGTCTCCCATGCAGGTGAAGGGCCCAAGCACTTGGACCATCCTCCACTGCCTTCCTGGGCCACAGCAGAGAGCTGGACTGGAAGAGAAACAACCAGGACTAGAACCTGGAGTGCCAGCGGCCCTAACTGGGACTAGAACCCGGAGTGCCGGTGCAGCAGGTGGAGGATTAGCCTAGTGATCTACAGCGCCAGCCGATATCTTCCAATATGTTAGAACAGCTTGAATGTGAATGCTAGGAACTTCGACTGTAAA